TCTCGCTCCTCGCTCGTCGTTCGCTTTTAGGACGGGGCTACTACTATACACGCCGGAGAAAGAGACGCGACTTCTCGCCAGCGTCGCGTCGCGGCATTCCTCTCCCGCGACTCTCTTTCCGCGCCTTGCCGCGTCGCGCAAAACGATCGTTAAATCCGTTCTTCGTTCATGGCCGAGAACTTGGCGATAACGATCCTTACACTCCGTGACGGGTTTTTTCTCCCTTTTTTTTTTCACCGAAAAGGACCGCACCCTTTCGGACTCAAACAAGATTCGCTTCGCACTTTCGACAAACTAGATTGTTTTTGAAGGATCCGTAATTGACGTCAGAAATTAAAAATTAATACACACACACACATATATATATATATATATATATATATATCCTTTAGGTCTGTTATATTATGACCTTTTCGCTAATACATCATGTTTTTCCATAATATTCCAATATTTTAGTTTATCTACGTACTATAATTTAGTATGTATAGACACGTGCATCTGTTCGTGGGTTTCTTTAACAAGTTCACAACAACTCGTGTTACTTTTATTTGCGCTCTACTTTGTCATTCCATCGATATTATATTTCTAATGTAAGTTTTTATTATTATCTTATTGGACTATGATCGCGCGCTCTAATCAATGTAAACTTCAATTTATTTATATATTAGACTACGATAGTTGCACAGTGATTTTTCAACATTTTCAGTTTTAATTTCCGACTCACGATTTAAGTATTCACCCAAGTTCTGAGATGTTTGATCATTTTTTATTCTTTAATAATTTTAGTATCACGATGTTTCCGATTCGATACCGCTTTGTAATTCATACCGATAATTCCAATGATTTACTTGTAGAACGAAATTATTTTATTAACTTTATTTCGAAGAAACCCAGAATTATAACGTCTGTATTTAATTTCTATTAATATAATTTCTATACACGTTCTCATCCTGCTCGTTGCTTCCTAAGTGCTTCTTTTGTCATTTTTTTGATTCATTATATTTCACTTTTTAGTGAAATAACATAAATAAGAATTCGCCAACAAAGTGGGATACGTTAATAAATAAAATGTATCATCGAAAGCAACATCAACAGAGAAATTCTTTTCTTGAAAATATTTGCTATCTCTGTAAAATATACCTTGCAATAGCATAGGATGACATTTCTTACAGGATTCCAGGAAAAATTTTAGTGAACGATGAAATTAAAACAGCAATTGCGTTAAAGTTCATTTCTAAAAATTCACAACCACGCGCGATCCCATAGCTTATAGTTCATTCGGTTCGAACGGTTATCTCACGGCGCATTACAGCAGGCGATAAGTTGTAATCGGGTCAGTACAACGATGCATTGTAAAGTATCGTCGACTTGCTCATGAATTTCCACGTTTCTTTCATCTTCGCGAGAACAACCGCTCGACAAGCCCAGAGATATCATCGATGCTACCACGAATCTTGCAGAGCTTACGTAAGAACATCGTTCGGTCCTTCTTTCCGTCAACATTGAGTATTCGTCAATCCGCTGTTTGTTTGTCTAGAAAATTTTATTCTAGGATATATATAAATTCTTCCGGCCTGAACGAAATTTCAAAGAGGAGGAGCAAAAATTCATTCTCCACCATCGTGTACCCACGCGGCGCCAAGGCATCTTTTATAAAAAGTAAGAGAATTTCACGTCGTATTGTAAAAAAAAAAAAAATAAAAATCGCGTGCTTGTAAATCACGATATCGGCAAACTACGTTATCAAGACAGAATTTTAAGCGAACGCATCCGTTCCGGTGAAGCCTATGGCTTATCGTTCGTCGCTGTGCACGCGGCCCGAGTCCGCATGCTTCTGCATGCCAACACACATATATATGACCGCGACGAGTCGGGTCCGAATCGCGTTTAACGTCGCGCGTCGTCACACGTATATCTCGTATACGTGCATATAGCTTGCATAGGCACGTTCGTGACTCGTCAGAGAAAGAGAGAAAGAGAGAGAGAGAGAGAGAGAGAGAGCCAGACATCGCATCCAGAGCGCCCAGCTCGACGACGAGGTAGCATGCCTTAGCATGCGACTAGCCCGCTCTCGCGGGCGCATCGGCCCCCCTTTGTTTTCGTGGCGGGCGCGCGCGGTCGCGAGAGCGAGCCGAGCACGTGGCTGCGAGGTCGCGCGGAGGTATAGTCAGTGAAAATCATCGTGCGCGGACATTGGATGGCGGGAAACGTGCGTGATAGCGCGGCGGCGGCGGCGGCGGGCTCGCCGCGGAGGGAGGCCCTAATCAACCTGGCGCGTGAACCTAACCCCACGCGAGAAACGGGGTGGGAACGCGCGAGAGGTGGAGGAGGAGAGGTGGTGGCGGAGACGGCGGCGAGACGCAAGGGCAGGGGGAGGGAGGGAAGCAGAAGACGACGACGGTGCTCTCTCGTCGGCGATGGTCGGCGATCGGCGGGCAAGACCGGGGACAGAGAGTGGAGACGGTTATCGCGGAAGTTCGGCAATTATAGGTGCCGAGTCGTCTTTTTTTCTTTCTCTCTCTCTCTCTCTCCCTCCCTCTCTCTCTCCCTCCCTCCCACTCTCTCCTTTCTTTCTTTTTCCCCCTTTTTTTTTTCGACGAGTGATATTGATTTGGGAGAGGCAGTTCGTATTCGCGGCACGAGCATACCTTGTGACTCGCAGAGGCGATGCCGCCGCCAGCGCGATGCATCACGGCGCAGCGCGCATTGAGGGGTACACGTCGGCTCGCTGGGAGTGTGAGGGGATCGCGTGGTGAGGTAGGGAGACGGAGGGATTGGAGGAGGAACGTCTGATGGCCCGAGAGAAAGAGGGAGAGAGAGAGGTAGAGCGATCGGACAGTTTTCCCCGCCAACTCGATCGTTCCCCTACACCGAAAGGCCGCCCCCCACCGCGTAGACCGTCGTCCCCCGACGGCACGGTATCAAACCCCTTCTACCGGTTCAACGAATATAACTTCCTCGCTTCGCCTCCTCTCGACCTTCCCCTCCTGCTGCCTCGGTCCTCGCCGGCCGTCTCGTTCTCCACCACCACTGATCGCTGCCGCCGCCACCGCCACCACCAACCTCCTCTCGTCAGGAACGAACGCTGAATCTCGGCTACCCGCGCTTCCTCCACCAATTTCCCCGATAGTCGGAATAATAAGAATCGACCAATCATATAAATTAAAAGATTGAAACAAAAGTTGATTGACACTAGATCGAGTATGTTTGATGTGTATCCTAATTCAAATGGGATTCGAAAAACAACGTTAATATTAATATAATATTCTCGTGAGGCTGAATAATTTTATATAGAAAATTTTTAGCTTTCCGTTAAAGATGATTAGTAATTAATTAATTATTAGAACACGTACTTTGTCGAATTGAAGAGATACGAGAGATGAATGGCTCCTTATAATTATGGAATTCTAATTTCAATATTCTTCGAGATTCTGTCATTCTTATTTCTTGCTAAAGGATCGAGATAGGCCTACAAGGGCGTCCAAAATCGGAGCAGTCCGATTAAATTGAACACAAGATACTCTGGAAAAACAAGATGCTGAATATACCAAAAAATTCTATAACCATCAGTTAATGTTATTGCTTTTTTTTTAATTCTTACAATTAAGAAAGGATAAAGAGTTGAACTATGATTAAAATCGAATTGCATTTAATTTAGTAAAAATATTCGTTAAAAATATTAGATAACTTTTCTTTCTTTACATCTATACTTTGGACCAAAGAGATCCTAAAGTCATCTGTTTTACCGATTCAGTAGGACTTGCGTACATACGATTTACATTTAATTATCATTGACACGCGTCACTACTACATTAATATTTCACACACACATACATACCAAATTTCCAACTAATCTTTCATAAGGTATTTAAGCCCAATTCTGAGGACTCAATGTTGTTCAATGTAATCTCTAGTCCAAACCAAGATTGTTTTACACAAAATATATAAAGCAAACATTGGTACTGGTTGGTACCAGAAGCCGATAAACAAATTTTCCAACTTTTTTCGTTTATCGTTGGTATAGACTATACTACTGTCTCCGTTTTAATTGTGAAAAAGGATTTTTAAATCTGTGTAAAGACAACTAGGAAAATACTTGAAAAATACTTGAAAAAAATAATCGGTAAGAGAGAGACACGGATGACTTTGGAAGTCCCCTTACGCTCGATTCCACAAATAAGATTAACTCAAGTCTCGGTTTCAATCTATTTTAATCATTTTTTAATTCTCGGACTTAGAAAAAAAAAAAAACATTTTCTAATTCTTAGATAAAAATTCATCCAATCTACATTTGTGCGTGAGACTTGTCGGTTTAAAGTGGAGTGGCGAGAAAAGCGGGAAATGACACGGATACAATGTAACCTTACTTCCGTGGATGTATCCGCCCCTGCAGCCGTCGGTGCCGCCGCCGTCGCCGCCACCACCGCCGCCGCCACCGCTGCCGCCGCCGCCGCCGCCGCCACCACCCCACCGCGACTCGTTCACCACGGCACCTTCTCCGCTCTCGCGTCCTCTCCCGATATTCTCTACCATCCCAAACCCGAACCAGTCCAGAAATCCCCACTCTGATCGCGCGTGCACCGCGACGACGGAAGTGTGGCAACGCCGCAGAGCGAGCGCCAGTGTCTCGGTCTTGGCGAGTTACTCGGGGGGGCTCAGGCCGAGTCTACCGAGATTGTGTCTACCGGCGCGGGTAACCCGAAAGCGAGTGTGGCGAGGATTAAAGTCGCGGGCCGTTTCCCGGCATGCGAGACCGTCTCGCTGTTGTCTGAAGGCCGTACAAGAACGAACGTAGGACGGCGCGCCAACGATAAGAAAAGTTTCACGGCCGCGGATCTAGAAGAGGAAACCGACGGCGACGACGACGACGACGACGACGACGAGAGAGAGATAAGACAGGAGACGAAACAGCAGGAACGGCAGAAGAAAAAAGAAGAAAGAGGCGACGAAGAAGAAGGAGGAGGAGGAGAAGGAGGAGGACGACGACGACGACGACGACGACGACGACGGCGACGACGACGACAACGACGAAGACGGAGACGAAGACGGCGACGACGACGACGTATCGTCGCCGTGCGACAGCATAGCAAGAGCAGGAGCAAGCCGACGAGACCGGGCGCCGCGCCGCTCCGCGCCGCGCGCTCTCGCACGTTGCCGTGCCGCGCTTTACTATATCGCGCCACACGCGCGTCGTGATCCGCGTACGCGCGCGTGAAACATACACGCGCACGATATTACATATTTATATGCATACACGGTGACCCGCGCGCGGAGATAATACAGTGTAAATGGCGCTCTCGGCGCAGAACCAGTCGACGTCGTACGTGAACTTGTATTACTCGATCGTCCAACGTGCGGCGACCCGCTACTTTAAGGAATATTACAACTCCGGTAAGTACCATCGTAACGCACGCACTCGCGTGCCTCACAGATGCACGCATACGCACACGTACACACGTTGGATTCGTAAAAAGCGCACCCGGCAGAGACAGATTCGCCGGCGAGCGCGGATAAGCGCGCGTCCGGCTTTGTATCATTTAGCGGCCACCCTCCTCTTCTCTCTGTCTCTCTCTCTCTCTCTCTCTCTCCTCCCCTCCTCTCCCCCGCCACGCTCGTCTGGTCCGTCGAATTTTATCCCTCATGTCTGTGACAGGCGCCGGTAGCCACCTGTGCGGCCACGTTTCGGCAAAACGCGACGTCATCGCGTGCGCCGTACCGTACACACGCGGTTTCGAATTTTCCCGCCGACCTCCCTTCTCGTTTTCTCCCCCTCCTCCCTCCCCCCCTCCCCACTCTCCCGCGTTCTGCACTCCGTCCCTGTCTTTCCGCCTCTCCGAAGACCCATTCAAACTCCGATAATGTATAATTTATGATTTCGATAATTTCGATCGCTCGATGGTGTGGACGCGTTGTGTGTGAATACGAGAATTTTTCTTTCTGTGTACCTTCGTACGTGGCACGTGATACATTGGAGAATTGAAATTCGTTGAAACTGCTTTCATTTTTAGTATCTATATTTTTCTCTCGCCGTATCTTATTCGAGTACTCTCTCTCTCTCTCTCTCTCTCGCTCGCTCGCTCGCTCGCTCGCTCTCTCTTCCTTTCTCTCTCTTTCTCTCTCTTTCTCTCACTCATCTCTCACCCCCTCCCTCTGCTGCCTGTCCCCATGCTCGCGTGTGCACGTATGCATACCGGGACAGTTACACGATCCAACTATAACGCTCCGACGACTGCAGGCAGAAGTGTTCTTCCGACTGCGATTAACAATGCTAGTTAGACACGTGTTCCGTGCAAAACTCGTGTGTGTCTGCGGTCGAACGCGTAGCTTGATTGAACGAGACAGTGTTTAATGTTGAAAGACCTAAAGGGAGAGAGGGAGAAAGAGTTAAACGCGAGAGAGAGAGAGAGAGAGAGAGAGTGAGAGGAGGAGGAGGAGAAACGAAGTGCGTGGGGTGAACCAGAAGTATCAAGGGGGACCTAAGAGTTTTGCTGTCCGTCGGTCAACGTCTAGGTTGTACGAAATTCTCTGCGCACAACGTCAGACAGAGAGACAGAGAGAGAGAGAGATAGAGAAAAGTCGCGTGTTCGCGGTTTCTGCACGAGACGAAAACAAGAGCGAGAGCGCGTAAGAAGGAAAGAAAGAGAGAGAGAGAGAGAGACGTAACTTACTACAAATCTCTCTCACGAGCATCGGCACTGTGCAAAATGATGTAGCAAAAGTTATATGAATCGGACGGAACGTTAAGAGTGAGAACGCGGCAAGACAGTCGTATATCCGAGATCCTGCGGCGAATGAATAAAAGAAACCGCAAAAAGTCCAGAAACCAATTTGAGATAAACGCGAGACTAGTACAATTAAGTAATTCCACTGTAACAGTAAGCTTCGTGCTCTCAGAAGAACTAATCATAAAATTGGATCTTGAAATGATTAAATCTCTTTATTATGTAACACTTTACTATGAAAGAAGGGGAATGTTAATTAATGCGTTCTCGGGCAAAATGTATATATATTCGCGCTATGAATATCGATACGGAGGAAATGCAAAGAAAGTGGTAGCGTTGGATCGTATAAACCATTTTCTTTCAACTGAATGTACAGCGTATCGCGCTTTAATGAGGGAATCGTTTTAAAAGAGGAAAAAAACCACACGAATACAGGCCAAGACGCCGAGAAAAATAATCGTAGATTGGGTGCAATTACCATCCCCCCCTCCCCCCGCCTACCCTCCTGCTCCTCCTAACACGTCTACTCGTGTGATAATTGTAATATAAATTAGACGGAAGTTGACGATTAAATATACTGACGAATCCACGTGTGATTTAAAGGATGAAACACAGTGTTGTTAGACATTATATAGCTTATTACACAGGTATGCATCATCAATTGAACATTTGTAATAGATATAAAAATGCGCGAGAAGTTCTCGAATAGGTGCATCAGTACTTTTAATATACAGGCATGTAGGAGAACGTTATTTATAAACTACGTCGTAACTGACAAATTCTTTTGAAATGATTTGTGATACACTGATAAATGATAAAATAAGACAAAAACAGTTAATTAAGCTGTAATAGCATTATCCTGTATGTCAGCATTTATAATCAATTATTTACAATATCGTTTGCGGTAACGATATTGTAGCCATACGATTGATCGTCGTTCATCATTGATACGTGATTGTATCTTGTAATTATTCGAAATGTATAAAATTAAATTAATTTGTTACTGACATGATTGCCAGCTACACTTTGCGATAATTAAACGTTCCGTCAAATGTTTGTTATTAACGCAATACGGACCATTTGCTTGAACTCGCACTATTTATTGCTTCGAAATAACATACGAATGGCAGATGAATTTATATAATGTGACGAGCATCGCGCGCGTTGTACAAAATGTATTCCTTTTTTTTATTTTCTCAAGCGAGACAAGAGAAGGCACAGGGCAGGGAAAGGAGAGAGATGATATATACGCGAGACACAATCACGTAATATCCACCGCGCCGTTTGGGTCATCTAATCGGTCTTCAATTTATCGCGGCGAGCAAAGTGACGAAACACGCGCACAAAACGATAAGTTTTCGAGCTACCCTCCGACGCGACGGGTCCAAACCTATAACCTTCTCGCAGATGTACACAGCGGAATGAAATCTGGAAGGGAAATAATCCGATTGTCGTTTCGTCCTCCGATTCGTAGCGACACGTAATTCAGCGGTAAGGGTAACGCACGAGGGCGCGTAGAGTAGTCGAACTCTTCGCTTTTACTCAACGGATTCCATTCCTGGACACACCAGTCCTGGAATTGACTTTTTCCTTTCACAAAACGGCAAACGCAACTACGGCGCTGCAACTATCTCACTAACTTTTTAATATTCAACTTTAAATATCTTCGAGAAGTACTAAACCCTGAATCAAAACTTCCTTCGAGTTCCGTTCTTGCAAAAAGGAAACATCTTATCATCTAATTTTATCGCTGAAAATTCCCCCCCCCCCCCCTCCCCCCCCCCCCC